AATCCTTTACACTGATTCAATTGGAGAGAAAGTATTTCTGCAGTCTGCTGTGTGAGGATCCTCTTCACCATGGTGAGATGATAGTATGCTGCAGGATCTTAATCGCTCCTCTTAAATACATTGTAAGAGAAATACAAATTAAGATAGAACAAGAATAGAAAATGTATCCAGCTGTATTCTTTCTGTTCTTTTTTCAATTAATTTTTGCTTGTTATTCAAAGAAAAAAATGTCTAAGCTTTGAATTTATCTAAAAAATTCCCAAAAAAGTAGTTCTGTATAAAAGTTGATCTCAATGACAAAAGAGTTTTGATGCAGTTGGTAAAGAATTCTATCAGTAAAATTTTAGTCTTTTTAAAACCAATGATATTGATACAAGAATTGAGAGTTTATACAAAGTCATCACTGATTTCTCTCAAAATTTTGAACAAAATTTTGAGGCAATCATGTTCCTGTGATCCAATATCATGACGAATCAGACAAAAGAAAAAAGTAGCTAGACATAAAAAATGATGGAATCTGGTAATTGCAAGAGTTGTGTTAGGAATTAAACAAGTTAGCTCAAGACATAATAATTCATAATTATATGTAAATGTCTGAATATAGGAATGAACTACTGTACACATATATGCACAGGAGGTCAAACTGAGAAAAAAATCTATGTTATTGAGCAATCAGTAAAGATAGGTATAGATAAAGAATAAATAGGATAGGAATAGATGGGATATATAAGGAACGTAACTTCATGTGCTAAATAACACTGAAATGTTAGCATGAAATATTTTTTCTTTGAATCTTTTTCCCTGTCCTTGTCATATAAAATATACATGGAAATATATTTATGATAGCTACTTAGGACAATAGCTACTAAAAATAACAAAGCTTTCAAACATACCAGTGGGATCTAACTTGCTGAATACATATTTGCTATGTAGAAAGGATAATTTTAAGCCAAAGAACCAGCTGAACAAATACATATATATATATACAGAAATGGCTTAAAAAAGGTTAAAAATCTTTCAATTTGGTTATGGTTTTGTTTGTATTTTAAATAATTTAAATGTACTAGCATCTGCAGTGTAATCCTGAATAGCTGGAATTCCCCACTGAGGGCATATGGAAATATTAGAAAGCTGAAAGAAGATTCACAATTTTCAAAACTGGGAAAATTTTTAATATTCCAACATCTACACGGGTGTCATCCCTAAGGCACTTACATGGTAAATTATCATTAGACACTGATGGAAATAAACTAACATACTCCAACAGAAAATAACAGCATTTTGTACATTGGGACTATGATTTTCTAGGGGATGGAGACAGGACAGAAAAGGCTTATGAAGACATTTGTTGCAGCATACCACACTGATACTTCATAACCCAGACATTCTCAATATGCACACACACAAACCCTCAGTGAGACCCAGCAACTGAGTGAGCTTTAGATCCAAATTTTATCTAAGTCTACTACCTTTTGATCAAGAGTTTTGGTGCAGATCACTCTCTAACACTGCTTAAAAGAAGCCTGTGCTTTAAAAGTTTTTTTGAGTAACCAGACATAGGGGAATTCAGTGAATTTTTAATTTTTTTCTAACTGTGTGTGTGCATGCATGTTGATATCCATTCTGCTTTTGCAAAAACTACCACGTTTTGCAGGCTGAGAATGAACACAAAACTATTTGCATAACATCTGCACTGCTTGGAGAGTTGAGACACTACAGCAATTAGATCCATGCTCTATAACATTCACTTGCAATTCAGGCAACTACTATAGTTGAGCTAATTTAACGTTTAGTTAAAAGATATTTATTTTTATTTTTCCCTTTCTTATTAATGCTGTATCAAAAAACATTTAATAAACTGTTTTATTTTTAAACAGGCAGCTATAAAAATATTTTCCCTCTATATTTTTAAAATGAAAGAAACTTTGAAGGATAATAATTTGTTAAATATGTGACAGTTTGCATCTACAGCGTGTGTTCTAATCTGACTGATTTTACACAGCTGTCATTCTACAGCCTATAATCTGTATGCATATGATATAAACATAACCTTTAATGAACAAGATTCACATGCAAAAGTTGCTAATATAATGCTAGCATAGCAGCACCTGCCAACACCTCTACAATTAGAAGTCTGTGTCAGCATTTCAATTATAAAGCAACTTCTAATTTAGAGGATCATAACTTGACAGTAAAAATTCATTCTGTGTTGCAAGTTGACATGCAAGGTCTCAGTTCAAAGCATTTTTATTAATACAGGTTTAAATTGGTTTAGATATTATGAAGTTAGAGAAGACTAAAGTGGAAAATGAAGACACTCTGTGGATGTTTTTTCATCACCACTGTAGCTCAAACGCTTTGAAAGGGAAATCTGCAAATGTTACAGTTGTTTATGTGTAAGTAGGATCAGTGACTGGTTCTCATGCTATTAATGTAGCAGTAAGATCTAAGCTTTAAAACTCCCCAGTGCTATATTTCTTTCTAGTGTTTTTTAGGATGCATATTTGTCATTAACATTAAATATGATACATTAATTTATTAACATATTCATTCTTTAATGCACTGATTCACCACTAAAACTTACTATGGCAGTACATGTGTGAACCTACGGACTAGAGGTCTCTCCATAATGACATATCACTTACTAATAGCATTTCCATGAATTAGAAACTTCCCAAGTGTGTATTGACACAATTGTTCCAGCTGAGAAATTACTGTGTACTGTGTCAATAAGCTACTTATCAGAGTTGCCTATTGCTTTGCACTGACACAGTAACTACTAACTACTGCTCAGATATAGCACTATTTATTGTGGAAAGGAAATAATTTTCAGTCTGTGACAGGGTTAGGATCCACTGAGGGAGATAAATGACAAGGATTTCATTCTATTCTTAGATGGGTGGTTGTAAGAGGCAAAAATGTCAATAACAACTAGATCATTTCTGTGACCTTGCTGAGAATATTCCCCTCCACCCTATTTCTAGCTCTTTCATGCTGTTTTCAAAGCCCTAAAGGACTGAAAAGCATTGTGCAGAGCTCCTGGAGTTCAACAGTTACATCAAACAGTGTGCAAAGGGTGGCACTGCATTCCTTTGGTGCCTTATGGAAAAAAGCATCTGAGCTTGACAGGGAGAGCAAGGAGAATTACGTCTGAGGAAAGCCAGAATACTTTGGGCAACCTGAGGTGCTGGAGGAAGGCTTGCTGCTGCAAACCACAGCAGCAGGGGAAGCTTCTGAGTAGAAGCCAGATACCAGCTCATGGGGCCAGAGCTTCATGTAGAGCTGCTCTTCATCTGGGGTATATTTTCACATGAACATGTCCAGGTAGCAGCTGTTCCCTGGAAGAACATGGGCCAAGAGAACCCACATGTCCTTGCAAAGGACAGCAGTCAAAAAACAGTTCCTGAAATTGTTTTCCAAGGAATGCGTCAAGTTCACAACCATGTTAGCCCCCTTGTGAGCAAGGCAGCTCTTTGCTGAGAGACATGTTTGGAGATTTTGCTCCCACAGATGGAAACCTTTGTTACATAATTACGGCAGCACGTGTCAGAGCTCCAGTGTTGCAAGCAGAGGTAGTAGCTTGCATTTTTGTGCCAGCAGTAGGTGCCAGGGGTTCAACAGATCTCCAAACACATAATGGTGTCTTGTACTAGTCCCTTTAAATTCAAAAACAATATCTATGAACTGAGTTTGTTACTGGGAAAATAGTAATAATTGGTTTGTAAATGCATTGGAAATTAAAGTTAAAAAGCTATCACAAGCAAGGGAAAACTGGGGGAACAAATTGCCAAAGAAAGGCAAGGAGGATGTACATCAATAAAGTGGGCTTCCCTTAATATCTTTCATGTCCACATACTGCCATCACCTCTAAACTGCCTTCGGCTGAAATCATGCCACTAGTACTAGTACATGAATCACATATACACCTGTATCACCCTTCAGTGCTCATTACCTTACAGGAGGCTTTTAATTTGTAGCCGTTTTCTCTGTTATTTCTCATAGTGTCTTACAGTGCCAGGAGTATAGATATTGTAAGTACCCTTCACAGTCACAACATTTTCCAACATCTGCAACAAGTCATAAATGCACACCATAGCTCAGAAGAGTAGCCTGGGATTTATATGATTTATACACAATTCAGCCAATAGAATACCAGACACTATTTCTTCTAATGCTCTCTTGTTTCATTTAGAAGTCTTTGTAACAACAATGAAAAAACAAAAACCAGAGGTCTGTTCCTCCATATTATATTAAAGACACAAAATTTTTCAATCTTTATAGAAAAGTACAGTTCTTACTTTCTTAATTAATCTTCTTGATTCAACATAATGACATGCTACTAGTCAGAAGACATGCTTGAAAGAAATTTGAACTATTACATAATTGTGCAAAGGTATCCTAATCCAAACTCATTCATATGTATATGAAAACCTAAAACTTCTCATTGTTAACTCATGTTTTGCATCTGTCATTGAAACTTGAAAATTTTTCTCCCTTTCTTGCAAATTATGACATTCAAGTCTATCAGCCAATGATAGTTCATCAGTACTTCATAAAGACTTTTTAACCTGAAAGTTTAGACCTGCATTTTATACAAACACTAAACTAAATACCAAAATTATCTGTATAACACGTTAGAAAACAACTTTGCAGCACCCTCTAGTGACACATTAGCAAGTCAGAATGTTCTGGAAAATGAAGCAGCCAACAAGACAACCTTGCTCTGAAGAAAACCACTTTTGACATGACCATGGTGGCAAAAGGTGTTCACTTTCACTTTTCTAATCTCATAAGGTAAATTAAAAAGACCTGATTTCTCCAAGGCTCTTATAAACAAAAATGCATTTTCTTGACCTTAAATCATTCAGTATAGGAACTGGATTTATTCTACATTTGAAGCCACTCTGTTAACATAAAATCAAATATTTTTTTAATATCTGTTAAGAAGCTAAATTGGCACATGCAGAATTCCTATATCTCCTTTATTCCTTATGACTTAGGTCCGTCATTGTTCAGTGCTTCCTGTGTCAATGTGTTCCTACAGCATGAAGATGTGACAGCAGACACCTGACAGCTGAAAGATTTGCTTCACTGCATGCAAGTCTTTGAGCATGACTTTTGAAGCTTAGTATAATTTGGCTCCTAAGCATTTAGAATCAGCTTAAGATCAACTCATATCTTAAGATTATAAATAATTTCTTCCCCTTATGACCACCATATCCCAGCTGCTAATAAAAAACCATGCATCTATATATAAATATTAGGCTTTATCACTGATTTATATCTAATACTGTGGTAATCTAGTTAAGGAAACAATACACACTACTTAATGAAGTTGTTAGTAAGGTATTGGAGGCCTTTGGTGACTTTGTTACTGCATTAACATTTGTGTTGCTGTAAAAGGAAATTATGCACGTGATGGACTCATCTGTCAATATTTTACTATATTGTGTAATACAAAGCTTGGCTTATAGGGTTTTGTATTGTTTTTTAACTCTCTGATAAAACAGTATACATCTCTAATTAATAAGGAGCATAACTTTTTCCTTTTTTGTGTGTGTGCTTCTTTACCTTTAGAATTGAACTGTTTTTAAATAATGACATTCAGCTTCTCATTCTGTTAAATTATGCTTTTCCATGTGAGCTATGACACATCTTTCCTTCCTATATCTTCCTATATAATACCCAAAAAAGTATAATTTAAATATAATGATGTTGCAGAGATCTTAAGGAGTTGTTTTGCTGAATTTTGAACTGTGCCGCTATATCTTGTGGTGGAAAGTTAGTAAAGTAGTTTTTTCAGAAAAAGAAACATTATTACTTTCTTTCCTTCTCCCAGCTTGCTCCTTTAATATAAGGGTTTCCATATTATATTTCCATTATTATTCCATTGTTATATACACAGATAAAAATGACAGTATAGAATAATGGCAACTTATTTGGCATTGTTACATACTGTGAAACCTAAGATTCTCCTGTCTTCTTTCATCTACTCATAAATAAATGTAAATACTTATTCATAAAAAATAAATAAGTTCATCTGCCCTTTTCCTTTCCTGATCTGATAACAAAATTATTAAAAAAAAATATTTTCTTTGTAAAGGTTCCTTGAATTGAGCATTTCTTGCATCACATAAATTGTTTACATACATCACATATATTGTTTACATACACCACATATGTTGTTTACCTGAGTAAATATCAGTTAGAGCAATGAATCATAGACCTTCTTAGAAAAACGTTTTTCAGGTGCTATGCTTTATTCGTTGTCCTCTGCACCCTCACATACAGTTTAAAACCATCTTCAGTATTTATTATTGTTGGCACCTGTTTTTAAGTGTCCAGAAATAAATGATATGTAAAGAAAATTAATGTCCCTTCTTTTAACATAGACACCTGTGGTTTGAAACATCAGAGTTGTACAGCAATTCTGAAGAAGAAAAATGATCCAAAGAGTATTTCATAGAATAGCTAATAACTACTGCATATAGCATACAGTTAAAATTTGTAACTTTCTTGAGGAAAGATGACTGAAAATAAAAAGGCATAAAAACATTACTTTTAGTATGTTTATCAAGAGAATAGAAAATAATGGTATGCAATATATATATGCATAACAGCAACAGAGCTATTGCTTCAGGAAAAAGAACTACTGTTTTCTCCAACGGACTATATTTTCCATTTCAGGGCCTAGAAATAAAGTAAAAAGCCTGCTTAAACCCCTGCCACTTCAGGTTTATACAAATAGTGCACATTGACAGAGCTGGAAACTGTACCTAAAATCAAAATTAAGACTATTTGTCATGAAAAATAAAGTGATTACTACAAAAACAATTTTATGGAAATAGCATTAAGAAGTGTATGAAAATCAATTAAAAGTGTCTAATACAAGTCTGTTTCCTTTATGGCCTAACATGAGTGGTGCCTTTCATACTGTGAGCATATTAAATCTTTACACAACTCTGCTTATATTATAGTTAACTCACATTAAAATTTCTCTTTGCTTTTCCTATTCTACAGTTCTCTCTCTTAGGTAAGTTCACCTAGATCCAGAAAACATTTGTTTACAATGTAGAATAAACCGCTACATAATCAATTACCTCATAAGTGTAGGAGTGAAAGAAAACATTAATCTTTAAAATTCTTTAATATATTGACAGACATACTACCTTACCTATTCTTTAGAGTCATTCTTATATGACATATAATAATTGATATTATAGAACAATGCATGTTTGTCAAGGAAATTATTTCTCACTTCTGACAATTCACCTCAAAAACCTTCTTTGCATTCACCAGTAGTATATTCCTAGATGTAGAAAGGCATCATATTCCATCATTTTCCTTTATTTCCTCCTCCATTAAAAGCATAGTTTTTCTAGATGTTTAAGTAAACTCATTGTGATGTCTGAATGTTGTTTTTGTTTAACTAACATAAAGAGCTCTATACTTCTACAGGCACACATAGATCCAAATTTTGTTAGTTTTAAATTCCTCATCCACAAAGAGTTCAGGGCAGGGCATATCAGTTCCTTCCATCCCAGGAATTTTGAAAAGATCAGATCTCCTCAAAGATCATGCTAAAGATCATATTAGTTCCTTTGCTCACATTTAAGAATTCAAGAGAAGGTGTGCCTTTTTAAGTTAGTTCAATGCTAATTCATTATCACAAATTCATTGACTCTTTCATTGCAATGCAAATGTCATGTCGATTGAATTTTTTGCTGCTTTGAAAAGGATAAATTCAAATTTCACTTTCATAGGGAAAATTTTCATTTTCTTCTTTCGCTGAGATAGAAATATATGCTTCATGTTAAAGCTCTGTGCATTTTAGTAACTTACATATTATTGGTCCTTCACTATGACTGCAACATGGTTATCAGATGTAGGACTTCATAAATTATAAAGACTTAGAAGTAGTACAACATATTTAATTCCATTTCTCTTCTTTTCCACATTTGAAGAAATTACAGAAATTAACAAAAAACAAAATGAAGTGATAATGTCTGATGAATTCTTTCGTTCTGGTTATAATTCAATGGGTATCTTATTGCTACTTAGTTTTGCATCCCAAGCATATGGATAGTTTTTTAAATTTCTTTGGAATTTGACTCTCTGAAGAAAGTTGTTCACCAAAGCTGATGTTTTCTATTTAGTAAAGTATTGATTTTATATACTGATCTGAAGTTCTTAGTACTCACATAGTGTACCACACTTTCAGGAAATGCAAAAATACCATATCCTGTGTTGTGTTGCAAGTCATACAGGTGTTACCATTTGGTTCAATATGAGATAGAATTTGTTCTACAAGACATGATCCAACATATGAAAATGTTTCTAGTTGCCTGTGGTAGAAAAGGACGACCCTGGAAACTAGCAACCTCTCAGCCTCACCTCTGTCCCTGGAAAGATCATGGAACAGAAGAAGCTATGCTAAGGTCCGGGGAGGACAGGGAGGTGATTCAAGACAGCCAGAATGGCTTCACCAAGAGCAAGTCCTGTCTGACCAACACAGTGGCCTTCTACAATGGAGAGACTGCATCAGGGGACATGGGAAGGGCTACAGATGTCATTTATCCAAGGTCTGTAAGGCCTTTGACATAGTCAAAATCTCTCCAAATTGGGGAGAGAGATTTGATGAGTGGACTGTTTGGTGAATAAGGAATTAGTTGGACAGTTGCATCCAGACGATAGTGGTCAATGGTTCAGTGTTCTGATGGACGTTGGTGACAAATGATGTCCGTCAGAAGTCTCTCCTGGGACAGTGCTATTCAATTAATGCTGTTCAATTAATCAATGACATAGACAAAGGGATTAAGTGCACCCTCAGGAAACAAAACCATGCTGATTGGTGCGGTTGACATACCTAAGGGCTGGGATGCCATCCAGAGGGACCAGGATAAGGTCAAGAAGGAGACCTATGAGCATCTCATGAGGTTTAACAAGAACAAATGCAAGGTCCTGCACAAGGGACCTCCAGTACCAATACTGGAGGTGAACAGATGAAGAACAGCTCTTAGAAGAAGGACTTGAAGGTGCTGGTGGATGAAAGACTGGACATGAGGTAGTAGTTTGCACATGCAGCCCAGAAAGCCAGTTGTATCCTGGGCTGCATCAAAAGCAGTGTGGCCAGAAGGTTGAGGGAGGTGATTCTATCTTTCTATTCTGCTCTGGTAAGACCCCACCTGGAGTACTGCATCTACCTCTGAGGTCCTCAACATAAGAAAGACACAGAGCTGTTGGAGCAAGTACAGAGGAGGGCCATGAAGATGATAGGAGGGCTGGAGCACATCTTCAAGAAGAAAGGCTGAAAGAATTTGGATTATTCAGCCTGGAGAAGAGAAGGCTCTGGGACAACTGATTATGGCCTTTCAGTACCTAAAAGTAGGTCTATGAGAAAGTTGAGGGGGAGTTTTTACAAGGGCGTGTAGTGATAAGACATGGAGGAATGGCTTTAAGTTGACAGAGGGTAGGTTTAGATTATATATAAAAAGATTCTTTAATGTGTGGGTGGTGAGACAGTGGAATACGTTGCCCAGAGAAGTTGTAGATGACTCATCTCTGGAAATGTTCAAGGCCAGCTTGGATGGGGCTCTGAGCAAGCAGGTATAGCAGAAAGTGTCAAAAAATATTTTCTCGAAGACCTGGGATCCCTTTCCATAGTTAGTATTACTCAGTGTGTCTGTGCATTATTAGTTTAACTGAGTTATGTATTGTGGCATTTTTAAAAGGATGTTACTGATTCCACTACTTTTCTGTATAACAGGTTTCTACTCTTTTTGTTTCTACCTTAGTTTTTCCCCACTTTGCACTGTAGTTAGTCAAACAAACATTTTTTTTTATGGTCTCTGGTAATTTATAGTCTATTTATTTCAGTGTTTAATAACATGTTTTTCATCCTATGTTTCCTTTTTGTGAGCTAAAGTCTTGATATAGCCAGTTTTGTGCCACTTTTCTTTTACTCTCATATCATAGATTAGCTCAATGGTAGAAGTTGTCAACAGCAGCAGATAATGTAACACCACTTCTGATAAAGTGCTTTCCCATTTCAAGCTTTGTAGCATCTCCCTCCCTGTATAAAACCAGAGTGATTATTTCTAAAGATAACAAATTCACGCTGTTTTATAAAGGAGAAGAAGCACAAAGATTGATTTTCTGCCTTTATTCTTGTATAAAATTTGTGAAAATATCATACCTAACCACTTGCTGAACCCTGTTGGATATTCTACAACCAAACATGAATGTATAGACATCTAAAGCACTGTTAAAAATAGAAAGTATGCTTGTTTGTATGAAGGTTATACTGAATTCACGGAGTACTTATTCTTGGCAGAAATATGCTTAATTTACCCTTGTATATATAACTCTGGCATGAATTTGGACATAAAGAAAGCACTGCTTAATGCAGTCCCAATGAATACCATAATGGCTTTTGCCATAACAGTACAGCAAATATTGCT